TCCTTTAGATTCTTGCCTTTTAATTACTATCCTTTACTTTTCAAGCACTTTATTATTCCGTCTCTTAAATTTATGCATCTTAACTTAATATATTATGATTATTATTGTATTATTGTATTATTGTAATTAGAACATGCATCATTTGATCATTTGTGAATGAATGAAAGTTTAGTGTTAGTGGATGTATGATTTTAATCCTGTAAATGATGTTTATGTTGTGATTATATTGTATGGATGTTGTTATTTTGTTTTGATGTTATACGGCAAAGTGTAAGAGATCTTAATGGGTCTCATTTGTTGCTTATTTGTAATAATTATGGGTTTGAAAATTTTAGAAGGCATTGGGTAGAATGTACTATAGAAGTGATATGTATTCTTTTCTCCTCACCTCCCTTCTTTTGGATGTTTAATTTTAAGTTCCATTAAAATGCTCAATTGACATGTTTTCCAAAATTGCATCAAATTTCTCCTCACCTCCCTTCTTTTGGATGTTTAATTTTAAGTTCCATTAAAATGCTCAATTGACATGTTTTCCAAAATTGCATCAAAACTATTTTACATCTCATTTTTAGTTAATTGTGTTATTTAGTGAATTATGAATTGTTGGACAATTAAGAGGCCGGTTTAACCGGGCAATATAGGTGCCTAACATCTTTCCTTATCGTACCTAACTCTCGGACCCTGTCTCTGGTTTAAAACCATATTAGTCGATTCCAAAGAATTGACTAATTTGAGAATTTTTCCTAATAAAGACTAATTTGAGAATTTTTCCTAATAAAGGTGGCGACTCTAAAAATAAAACTCTTACTAAAGGAAGAGAACCTTTTTTCGAGGATTAATGAACACGTTAAATAAAGAAAACTGATTTATTAAAATCAACCAAGCCTATTCGATTCGATTCTTTTCAGGAAAATCAAAACAAAAAACGATAACCTCACCTCTAACTTTTGTAACCTATAATTTATTATTTTTCAATAATGCTTTAATGCCTATTAACATATCTATGCAGATATTACTAATATATAATGTGGCTTTATATGTTTTATCCAGATTATATTTCTGATTTTCATCGATTAGGAATCAAATAAATATTTTATTATTATCAATAATAAATTTTTTTTAAGTATATGACATTTAACTATAATGAAAATTCTTGTTTCAAAAAAAAAACTAAAATGAAAATTCTTAAAAAAAAATTATATTAGAAGTTCAATATATTCTTTCTTGTTGTAATAATAAATTTTTAAATATTAAGTAGAAAATCAATATAATTAATCAAACTAATAATTTCTTAAGGATAATAACTTTATCAAATTTAATCATTTCTGTTAATCATAATTCTTATGTATATATCATAGTTTTGAAACCGGAAGACCGGCCGATTTGACTAGGAAACGGATTGTGGTCCGGTCCGGATTGTATAGGAAAATCGAATGTTCAAAAATCATCTTGAACCGATAAAAACTGGCTAAAACCAATGAACTAAACCGATTTTTCAATTTCTAAATTATTCCAGAAAATGTGGGCTTTTTTAAAAATTTAGGCCTCTTAAAATTGGGCCTATTGATTTTTATATTTTTGTGCCTCTTTATTTCTATACCCAAATTCCTAATATGTTAATTAAATGAAAATTAATAATATATTTCATGGTAATTAATTAATTTTTTAATTTAAAATTTATTCATATTTTATTTTTTTTTAGTGATTTAGCAATTTTTATTCTTTTTGTAAAAATCAAATTTGAAAATATTTTTTATTTGAGTTCAAAATTTTTTTTAACCTATATTTTTAATTTCATTAAATAAATATATTTAAAAATATTATAGATAAAAATTCGGTTGAACAGTATTAAACCCAGTCAAATATTCCGGTTCAGTAAACTCCTCTCTTCATCAGTTCACTGAGCGGTCCGGTTCTTAGAACATACACATATATGGTTTTTTTTTTTTTTTTTTTTTTTTTTTTTTCATACACATATATGGGTTTTTTTTTTTTTTTTTTTTTTTTTTTTTTTTGAAATTATATATGGTGTTTTTTTTTTTTTTTTTTTTTTTTTTTTGAAATATATATATGGTGTTAATTCTTAGCTAGACGGTAAGCTTCCTATAATTATAGTTCCACGTGCTATAGAGGCAAAACACATGTTTTCTTCAAACACGTTGTTGATGTCATGTCCAAATGTTGTCATCGTTGTATTGTCTATTTTACCATATGTTTTGAAGAGAACTGTACATACTATCCTATCACACTACATATACATTATGTTATACAACTGTCTAACAGTGGCCCACGACAATTGTAGAATATGTGTCGTGCTGTGGAACGAGTCGCGCCAGCTATCAGTGCTCTTGAGAGATTCAAGAATAGGAATATAATACAAGAATAGGTAATATAATTTAGCTTATTATTAGCAACTGAGCCACATGTAGTTGACGAGGTGCGCATGCACCCACTGACTTTGAAAATTTTTTCCAATCAACTATTGATATATTTATAAAATGAACCTCTACAATGTTATATTTATAATTTGTGAATCCCCTCAAATTAATTAAATTAGTTTGAGTGCGTTTTTAAATGCATAAAAGTTGAGTTGATATTTCTATAAGACAAGAGTAAATTGAAACCGAGAAGCATATTGTTTATTAATTATTATACTAACTAATTAAGTTAGCATTAGTTTTACTTGTGCCACGTCGACTATTGAGAGAACATTTTCTACAATAGAGATTGTGAAGAATCGTCTGTGTAATCAAATATAATGATTATTTAATCATTTATATAGAAAGAGATGTATTTAATGCATTAATAATAAACTAATTATTCAGCGGCTTCAAAATATGAAATTATGTGAAGGAAAAATATATTTTTTTTTAAAAAAAAATCATATAATTGTTTTATGTATTATGAATGGAAGTGGTAGATTTTTATTATATAATTCAAATTATTTTTAAATTTCTTAATACTAAAAGACATATATACTATACATAAATATCCTCCCTGACTCCAAGGTCTTAGCTCCGCCATTGGTTGTGGTCCTTTTCGTACCAATTTATTTAACGTCAGATTCAACCAACCTACTTTCAAATTTTATGTCATATATCAGTTAATATTGCGAGAACATAAAATAAAGTTGCATTTTTCTGTAGTAAAATCCTTAACTAATTGTTAAAAAACCACTTTAAAGTAGGCTCCAGAGTTCAAATATCATTAATAACTATTCTCTTTCACCTATCCACAAAAACTACTCCAGCTAAACTAAACTACTTTTTTCATTTTCATTTTACCTAGGTTGCTATTGTAATGACAAGGAGAACATGGTGATATTGATGTTCATGGTGATGATCTGTACTATATATAAATGTAGGAATAGAGAGATAATGGAATTTCTGATAGCGTTCTTGATGAAATTTATGATATCCTAAAATAACCTTAGTCTTAGTAAATTAAAAAATTATAATATATTATTTAATTAGATATATTTATAAAAATTATTTTTTAAGTCAATCATATATGATCTGTTTGTCTTTTTATTTATGTGAGGAGTGAGAGATCTTAAGTTCAAGTCTTTTCGATCACAAGTGTTTTCACCAATTTGGTGAGCGGAGGGTTATTTCTTGTTAAATAGCCCTAGTGTTGTTTCGATTTATCAGGCCTCCTAATGAATAAAAAATTATTTTTTAAATAAATGCATATAGATAATTAGACATTTTAAAATCTTTAAGTTTTATCTTTGTTAAATTTATTTTTAATAAATATATATGAAAATGAGACATTTGAAAATTATTTTGTATTTTATTTATTAAATATTTAATTCTTTTAGGATATATATATATAAAAAAGAAAGAAAATATATTCGTTTTATTAATATTGTTTTTTTCGTTTGTATGATTTGATTGGATATATTTTTTAAAAATAAATTTTCAAATAAAATATTAATATTTTATTTAGAAAAGAGATAAAAAATTTAGAAAGGTAAAAAAAAGAAAAAGTAATTATTTTATTAATAATTTTTTTTCTGTTTATTATTTGTAAGATTTGATGGCATATATTTAAAAAATAATATTTTTCAAATTAGAATTTACATAATTAATATCTTTTTTCTTTATATTTGTAAGATTTGATTGCATATATTTAAAAAATAAATAATTTTTCAAATAGAATTTACATAATTATATCTAGATGGTAAACAGTTGAAAATTTTAACTTAAAAAAAAATATAATATTTTATTGATATATGTATATATTTATATATATTCAAATGTTTTTTTTTTTTGTTTGATAGGTGAGTTTTGAAAGAGTTTTATTCTTAATAATAATTTTTTATTTTCTTTTAATTATTGAATAATTTGTAACTACTATTTTTTTAATTTAGTAAGAGATTTATATCTCTCTTGCAATAAATAGATGATCTATTAATGATTAAACATTTTTAATTTTTTTTATTTTTCTCTCATTTCCTGAATCTGTTTGATTTAAAAGAAAATAATATTTAGGGAACTAGAAAAAAACTAGAACTATATATTTCTATTTGGGTCATTTTTTGGGGTTTTAAGAAATTGTGTGTATGTGCATATATTCATTTCTCTATATACTGGATACGTAATACTAATATTATAGTCAAAGTGATTTCCATTATTAATTCAGATCATCTTCTCATTTCTTTTCTTTTAACTATCACAAAAAAAAAAATAATTTATTATTATTTTTTATTATAATTGTATATAAATATTGATTTGAGATTGACGGCAGAAGATTAGAGATTAAACGATGAATTGATTTTCTTTTTAGGCACCTACTAGAATTTTAAAAGGCACCTACTAGAATTTTAAAATTCTACATTTATAAATTAAGAACTAAAGGATTAGACGTTTAAGGATTAGATTGAACTTTATTCTAATACCACTCCATTATATAAAATTAGAATTAAGTATTTAAGTTGCAATGGAAATATTTTGTACGGCAAAGTATAATATAAATTAACCATTGTATTTATTTTAATCTAAACAAAACTTATGCTTTAATATTATATAGATAAAAAAATGAGTATACAACGAATATAGTCAACATGTAACACTCGTCATACAAAAGATAGATTAGTAAGAGTATAAGAGGGAAAATATATAAGGTAATTATAAATTTAGTATTCTAACTTTTCAATTTCCATTTCTATCAGGTGAAATATCTACAGCAAACCCTTCTTTTGAGCATAAAGGACTTATCAATTCAATGCTCTCAAGACGTCAAGTACAAGATTTTACATTTGAAACACAAACATGTTCCTTGCTCCATCATTTTGGCCCATTCTTGAAGATTACACTAGGCGGCATAGAACTTCACAGAGTTCAGTTCCACAAAAAGGCTAGCCTGAGGATGCAATCCAGCTTCTTTCAAGGATAAAGAAACTTTTTCTGAACCATACACAACGCGTGGAAAAGTCGAGACAAGTCTGTAATTACCAACCTGTAAGATGTCCAAGGACTCAACATAGTCATACAGGGACTGGATATTGGCAGTACTGTAAAACCTTCTTTCTTTGCGTTCTCCCATTGGGAAGCGAATCAAAACCTAATGAATGAAGAATTTTCCAATTGATAGATTAGTTTCCAAAGATTTATATACATTCAACCATGGGACAACATGGTATCAGGGATGCACAGTGAAGTACATCTGCATGCAATTGATATATGAGGCTTTTGCGGTTACCTCGAGTTAAAATAAAACAAAATAAAGACAAATAGAAGGATTGTATATATTGTGAATAGGGGGAAACTCTCTTTGTTAAAAATACTGATGGGCCAAAAAGGCAATGCAGTAAAAAACAGAGCTAAATGCATTGGAAAACAATAATAAGAGATCATATAAGAAGGGGAAAAAAATAATTTAGGGGTATTTACTTGTGTAATGTCAGGTCCCTTTTCAGGTTCTGCACCAAGTAACAGAGCTCCCTCCTGCCACATTCTAGCCAATGCAGCCTCCTCTGAAGTGTTGCTCTTTTCTCCATCTTGAGCCTCTTCTCTCCCCTCAAGCTTCCTCTCTGCTTCAGCAGTTTCGTTCTCCAAACATTCTTGCTTTTCCACAAAACTGTGCACTGTGCTCTCCAGGGTCTCTCCATCCTCCTTGTCATTCCTCTCAGCTTCAGTAGCTTTTCCTTCCAAAATGTCTTGCTCTTCTGTAGCCTCATGTGCTCTTCTCTCCTCAGTCCCTTCCTCCTCCTCGCTTTTCCTCTTTGTTTCAGTAGCAGCCTCCTCCACTATTTCTTTTTCTTCTCTCCTTTGCTGTTCCCAAGTCCAATGTGCCAAGGAGCGAAAACATGGAAGTAAGCACTAAAAGAATGATAAAAACAAAGAGAGAAGAAACAATGGACAACAATCAACGACATGGTGCATTGTAAACATCTTTATCAACAGGGAAAAGTTAGGAGGCAATATCATATCTGGTATATAGTAATCAAACACAACACGGATAAAATAACTTAAAGACATCCTACTTGATTGGCGTTATATATTGCTCCGAGAGTAGCATCTTGCTTCCCTAAGGAAAATCTTTCTACCACTTTACGCCTTGCTGCAATAAGAGCACATGCATTTCCTTCAAGCTCTTCCTGTAGTAGCATGAGCATTTCTTCAGGAGATTTTGCACCCTCAACCTGCAGAGCAAGAGAAAGATGAAATAATCAAGTTATTTTTACATCCTTGTGTATAAAAAGGCTAAGTTACCGAATTCATCTATCTTACAAATGCCCCTGGAACCAGTAAACTAAAACTAACCACCATATCATTCTAGTTATTAGTAGTTATTACAAACAACGGCATTGGCAATTCAAACATATATCTAGTGTTGCATAGTGCAGTTAAAAAGATTTAAGCTCAAACTAAAGTAATTCTATATAAAAGCGTTAGATGATTATGAACACAGGCAAGGAAAATTCAATAGTGAAAAACAAATCACATGTAATATTCACGGTTATCACTTCTTAATGCAATCAGATTGCAAATGTCAAATTCCCTCTGTGAATATCTTAAAAACTTCTTGTACTGGTTGTTTCAGAATAATTGTTCCTTTTCAGAAGGATGATCAGCACTTGAAGTGCAGGTAATTTATCGAAAATTATATATACGGTAAGCAATTAAGTACTTACTTGCAGGGAAACAACCACCAAGAACAATAACTGAAGTGTATTGGATTTTGAAAGGAGATGAACAAAATAAAACAAGAAAAACTCTCTTTTTCTTCTTCATTTTGTCGATATAAATTTCTTACAAAAATCATCTCCAACTCTCTCTTTTTCTACTCTTTGTACCTTCTACATTTCTACATCTCTCTCTCTCTCTCTCTCTCTCTCTTTGCAGACTTCCAGTACCATTGCTGCATTTATATAGTTTATACAGAACTGATTAAGGGATGAAATTAAGGGAAAAACGGAAAATTAAAAGGGACGAATTTCTAAATATGCAAAGTTGTTTAGAAGCCCAATAGCTGATTAACTGCAGTTTCAATTTTAAAGTTGTAACTTAAAACTGTTGACTTCTTCTTTTAGGATGATTTTAGTGACATGTAGATAAGCACTATAATTCAAGTTAAAACCCGAAGGTGCTGAAAATCTTAAAAGCTTAACAAGTACCTTATATCAATTGACTCCATAAACACAATACTTAACCCATAAACAGCAATTTTAAGGATGGATCATCTGATTACAACGAAGATCAAAACAGAATGGCTTAATTTTCTAGGTGAAAAGGGATGTCGGAGACGATTCATAGTGTGAAAAATTGAATTTATAAATAATAAAGATAAAAAACCATTACAATCATTACCCGTTGAAGCACAGCCATTGTATTGTCTGGTCCAGCCACAACCACAGCACAAAAAGGAAATCGTGTAGCTTTCAACCTAATACCTGCTTTGAACCCTTCATTAGTTCTAATGCTCTCTCCCCACGCCACGAAATTCTCATTCACAAATGCACTAAAATTCTCCGAGCAAAGAGTTCTCCTGCAGAAACCCGGTGTATCCGGATGATCCGGCGAGTGTAAGTACACGAACAACAGCTTATACGCATTCCTCGACTTCCAAATCGCATCCACGAAATCCGTCGCTGTAAATTTCGGCCTTTTGGAACCGTATTCACGCTGAAACGCCGATACAAAATCCAACACCTCCCTTTCCTCCGCCCTTAAGTGACCATTCAGTCCTAGACTTGATACCAGCCGGAAGATTCCGAGAGCATAAGACAAAATGATACCACCAATTCCAACCGCACAGGAGATAAGCCTGAAACTCTTTAAAGCGATAGAAATTGGTAGCTGTAACAGTTCCCGGGCTAAACCTGAAGGGGCTGATGATTTTTCAGCTGCAGGCATCGAGGATCTGTATACAAAAATCAGGATCTTGCAGGGTTCTTGTTCAAAATTAATTTTTTTCGAAGAGACAATTCCATAGCGTCGTGTTCTTTGTCAACTCCATCAATGATTAGTATTTTATTCTTTTAAGTTGTTCTCTCAGAGACTTGGACAAATTATTGAAGAAGGGGGAGTTTTTTTTCAAATCAAATATTTATTAATTCAACTAATTTTATTGTTGAAGCTAAACCATACAATATTATTTTGTGTTCAAGTGGAAATTCATAAAACTTGGTCAAAATTAGTGAGGGTCAAATGCATAATTTCCACCGTGTATATTTTTAAAAAAATCTTGTGACCATTATACTTTGTAGAGACCTATTAGATACCACTATTTTCACTTTTTTATATATTTAATAAATACTTTGCCACACTGGAAGTAGTGAAACCGTATTGACACCTAGAAAATGTTTACTAACAACAGCTCTAATACTATTCAACATTTTCTCCACTAACAGTACGATGCTCGTTTTCATTTGGCACACATAGTCCTACAACTTGTTCACTTGTAGGAAATATTATCTCCTCGTCACTAACATGCAATCCATCTACACTATCCATGGCATTAATATTTATAATTATATTTGATCCAGTATCTAGTTTCTCTCGCTCGTATGAAGGGAGCTCAAGATTTATATCTATGAAAAAATCTATCCAAAAGAGAAAATCATATTACTATGCACCTAAAATTTGAAAGAAATTTGAAATAGTAATTACTAAGTCTAAGAATGCAGTACATTGAGAAGCAAATTTAAGTAGCTGCTCATCTATAATAAGGATGCTTGATATAACAACATATATTGTGTGATTAGATTAGTTTATAATTTCATGAAGGCCAAGTACAAAGCGAGGCCGTTGTATTTGTGTCAAATCTGTAACAGAGTATTGCTGATATGGACATCGAATTATTTCTCGGTCATTTCTAAAGATGGCCTCTAAATGCATTTGACCTGTCATAAAAATAATTATTGTTGACACAATGCTAAAAATTAATTTTGAAAAATAGAGTCTACAGTACAAAGGAAACAAGATAACTCTAACAAACAAAAAGAATCAAATTTGAATTTGGTTGGAAAACAGAGTCCACAATACAAAGGGAACAAGATAATTCTAACAAACAAAAAGAAATAAAATTGAATTTGAAAGGCAAAAAGAAAACAAAGTACATAAACATAGTCTAGCGTGTCAATTTCCTAGCAAGACTAATCCAAAGCCAAATATTTTAGATTCTCATGCATGGTTTTTCTAGATTTTTTTATGATATAGAACCAAGGTCTTCTACATTCTCATTGCTTGAAGTTGAGGATGAGTAACAATATAAGAGGGAGCGAAGAGAAGGAGAAGAAAAAAATAGATGAAAATAAATCCCGATTTATTATAGGGTTAAGAAAGGTGAAGCTATCACGAGTTATGAAACAACGAGAGTAAAGAGTAGAAGAAGGAAGAGAAGATGTCGATGCGGCTTGTACTGCACTAGGCACTTATGACATGTTATTAGCTTTTTTTTCCACATCATTCTGTTTGCATTGCTCACGCTTGGTTTATCCAGGTGAGGTACTTACTAGATAAAAAAAAAAAAAAAAAAAAAAAAAAAAAAAAAAATTTATCCATGGGTTTTGGTGGAGGTACTTACTAGATAAAAAAAAAAAAAAAAAAAAAAAAAAAAAAAAAAAAAAAAAAAATGTACTTAATAGATCTTCCGCAAAGTATAAGGGGCCAAAGTTTTTTTTTTTTTGGAAAAGCAAAAGGTCTAAAATGTGCATTTGGCCAATTAGTTAGTAAGGAATATAATTAATATATCTATTTATATTATATATAAATGTGAAAATGAGAGAATAATGAGATTTTCGATAATATTCTTATGAACTTCAGAATATGCTAAAATAACTTTAGTCATGGGCAATTAGAAAATTACATTTTATAGTTGATTTAATATATTTATAGCAGATTATTTTTAAATAAAGACATAGAGATAATTAAGCATTTCAAGATTTTAAGTTTTATCTTTTTTAAATTTATTTTAATATATATATATGATAAGGGGACATTTAAATTTTATATTTTATTTTTTAAATATTTGATTCTATTTTAATTATAATTTAAAATATCTTATTTCGGAGAGAGAAAAAAGTATATTGTTTTTGTTAATATTATTTTTTTCTTTATATTTGTATGATTTTGATTAAATATATTTTTTTAAATAAATTTTCCAATACAACATACATAATATTTTATTTAGGAGAGAGATAAAAAAAGAAAAAAGTATATTATTTTTGTTAATATTTTTCCTTTATATTTGTATGATTTGATTGGATATATTTTTAATTTTAAGTTTTATATTTTTTAAATTTGTTTTTAATAAATTTATATGATAAGGAGACATTTAAAATTTTTATATTTTATTTTTTAAATATTTTATTCTATTTTAATTATAATTTAAAATTTTTTATTTCAGCAAAAATAAAAGAATATATTCTTTTTATTAATAATCTTTTTTCTTTATATTTGTATGATTTTGATTGGATATTTTTTTAAAATAAAATTTCAAATATAATAGACACAATATTTTATTTAGGAGAGAGATAAAAAAGAAAAAATATATTATTTTTATTAATATTTTTTCTTTATATTTGCATGATTTGATTGGATATATTTTTTTTGCATGATTTGATTGGATATATTTTTTTTTAAAAAAATAAATTATTCAATAGAATACATTAATTAAATCTTTCAAATTTTTAAAAATTTTTACTTTCCAAAAATTATTTTAAAATAAATGAACATATATTTGTGGGATTGGGAGATTAGAGTTTAAAATTTTAATTTTAAAATATTTATAAATATTTTTATTTAATATTTTATTTATATATTTATATATCTACTAGTCTTTTCTGTGATGTGCATTGCATATTGACAATGCTCATTATATTTCATTTTTTGTACTCTTTTAATTTTTTATCTATTTAATATTAAATCATAAGTTTTTATTTATATTAAAATAAATAAAATTGGTTAATTTGTATTAAACTTCACCGCATAAGCTACTTGCAATGTTATTTCGTATATACTTGATTCTATTTTTATATAATGAAGTGGTATCAAAATAAAGTTTAATCCAATCTCTACACCTAATTCTTTAGTCTCTAATTTATAAATGCAGATTCTTAAAATATTAATGGGTGTCTAAAAAGAAATCAAGTCATCACTCAATCCCCAACCCCGTGCCCTCAATCCCAAATTAATATCTATATACAACTATAATGAAAAATAATGAAAAATAATTTTTTACTAGTAAATAAAAGAAAAGAAATGAGAAGATAATCTGAATTGATAATGGTAATCATTTTGGCTAGAGTGATAGTATTACTTATCCAATGCATTAGAGAAAAGAATATATGAATATACAAACAAATTCTTGAATTCAAAAAATGACCCAAAACAGAAATATATAGAAAAATGACCCAAAACAGAAATATATAGTTCTATTTTTTTTTTTCAATTTCATAAACGTCATTTTCTTTCAAGTCAAACTGATTTAGGATATAAAAGAAAAAATGTCAAGAAAATTAAAAATGATTAATCATGAGACTATCTATTTATTGTAAGGAAGATATAAATCTCGTACTAAATAAAAGTGATAGTGATTAGAAATTAATTCAATAACGAAAAGAAAAATAAAAAATGAAAAATTGTTATTAAGAATAAAACTCTTTTAAGAATACAACATATAACAAAAATAAATTATGTTAAAAAATTACCAATTTTAATTTCAAAAATCAACTCTTAAAAGATTATAATTTAATGAAATTTGAAATTGATGGAAAAAAAAAGCCAAATTAATAAATGAAAATTACAAAGCGAATCACAAGATCCAATTTTCAAGTATTTTATTTATCTATTGTTCTAAATTACAAATTTAAAATAAATAAATTAATTAATTAAGTAATGAAAAAAAAGATTACATAAAAGAAACATTATATCCTCTTCAACTAAACCCTCAATTTTCTCTATCATCATACACAAACAAATAGAATATATATTTTTTATCTCTCTCATAAATAAAATATTATATATATTTATTTTTTAGAAAATATATTCAATAAAATTATATAAACTAAAAAATAGTATATTTTCTATGTTTTATCTCCCTCCTAAATAAAATTATTTTAACTTATAACCAAAATAGAATCAAATATTTAAAAAATAAAATGTAAAAATTTTCAAACCTCTCATTATCATACATATTTATTAAAAAATTATAAATATATATATTATATATAATTATCAAAAATAAATTTTAAAAAAAGACAAAAGTTAAATTTTGAAAAATTCTTAATTATTTATATGTATTTAATTTAAAAAATAATTTTTATAAATTAATATCAAATCAAAATAATAAAATATAATTTTCTATTAACCTATACCAAAGATTATGGTAGAATTATTTCAAAAATTTCATAGATAGATAACTATCTACAGATATGAAAAATATTTTTTTTATTTTAATTTTTCTATTTTATCAACAATAGATCTTATAATGTACCTCATAAATAATAATAAATTATATTTATTTTTTTAAAATATTATAACCAATTCAAGATTAAATATTAATAAAAGTAAAAATAAAAATATATTATAATTTTTATCAATATTTAACAATATACCTTATATAGGATAATATAACCCAATCATAAAATTCAAATTATCTTTTATTTCAACAATATATTAAAACTTAAACATCACTGCTACAAAAAAAACGGCAATTTTGCGACAAGACCAATCGGTCGGAAAATGGCCAAAAAAAATCGTCGGCCTAAATTCAATTAGCGACCGGATATTTGTTGGTCGCAAATATGCTCGCAAATTCGGTCGCAAATCGTAAATTTAAAAATTTTTATTTGTGGTCGCTAATCGGTTTCCCCCCCGCAAACGGTCGCAAAAAATTGAAAAAAAAATAAAAAAATAAATATTATTTATAAAACCATAATTTTTTTTGCACCTTTTGTAAAATTGACATATATATATATACTATATATATATCACAAACGCATTCAAAAATAATAAAAATATAACAAATGTCACAAAACAAATGACAAACTAAAAAAGAACAACCAATATCAAACCAACCAAT